CGCAACCAAGAAATTTAACAAAGCTATTGCAATTCAACAGTAAAAACATTTTTTTTTTATAAATTTTTCGATTACTTTTTAAATTACTTTGAGGAATGGACTTCGAAAAAAATCAATTACATTTTCAATTCCTTTCAAAGGAATTGGAAAAAAATTACATTTTCAATTCCTTTCAAAAGAATTGAAATAAAAAAAATTACATTACTAGCACGTAATTTATTCCAATTACAATATGAAATTCCTTGTAATGGAATTAAAGAAAAAAAAAATTCCATTTGAAATTACTTCAAGGAATTGAGAAAGTAATCGATTCTGTTGCTGTGAACTAAAGGAATTGAATCCTAATTACAATTACTGAGGAATGTATTGGTAATTGTAATGTAATTGCATTTACCCAGCTCTGTTTGTATTGCATGCTGTTGTAAAGTTATAATGTTTCAGGCAGTAAATAAAACACGACACTTTCAATGGTAATACAGACCGGAAGAAGGAAGGAAGGATTGCATTTTATTTGACACAACATATATGATAGTATACACAACAGTGTTGTATTTAATAGTATGAGGTATCATTCAATTTTATATTTCAACACCTTTCCTGAAAGATACTTCATTAATTAAATAAACAAAAAGAAAGAATTCATTAAATCATTTAAATACGGTATTTGCAAATGAAGCTAAGGCATAATACACAATGTTAAGTTAATTTGAATTAAGTCCAAGTGACTTACAAAGATTAATATGAATAACTTTAGATACACCTTTTGTCAGGATATCAGCTAACATCTCCTTGGTTGGTATGTAGACCAGCTTGATTTTGCCACTTTCCAAATGTTGACGGATAAATTTGTCTTTTATATCAACATGCTTTGTGCGAGGTGAATAAGAGTTATTCAAAGCCACTTGTATTGCACTCTTGTTGTCACAATGGAGTACTAGAGTTTCTGCAGTGTCTGGTGTTAACTCCTTCTGTAAGCGCATTAACCACGTTGCCTCTTGAATTGCCGACGTCATGGCCATAAATTCGGCCTCAGTAGAAGAAAGAGCGATAGTTCGCTGCCTTCGGGTGCACCAAGAGATCGGGCCATCTTGCAGCTTGAATAAATAGCCAGTTGTAGAACGTCTTTCATCGAGATCGCTAGCCCAATCCGAATCACAAAACCCAGTCAGATTGCAAGCTTCTTTGTTATACGATATGCCGTACTTTATGGTACCCTTTAAGTATCGCATCACACGTTTCACTGCGGCCCAATGCGCCTTTCCTGGGTTTGTGGAGAAACGACTAAGAAGATTTACCGCAAAACTAATATCAGGGCGTGTTGTTTGTGCCGCGAATAGCAGACACCCAATTGCTTGCATATAAGGAACTTTCGCCATCTCTTGTTTATCAACTTCGCTTGCTGGAGACATTTTAGCACTTATTTTCTGATTTAAGTCGATTGGCATCGCGGCTGGATTGCTATCAAGCATTCCGAAGCGTTTCAGCATTGCGACTGGTAAATTTTTATATTTCCCTTAACTGAGTCCCTCGTAACACGCATGCCAAGAACCGTTGACACTTCTCCAAGGTCTTTCATTTCAAATGTCGATGCCAGCTGTTTCTTTAGCTTATCTAAGCTTAACTCGTCACTCGAGAACAGTAACACATCGTCCACATAGACTGCTACGAATAACATCATACCATCTCCAACCTTATAGTAGACACACTGGTCTACATTGCTGCGTATCAGGCCTAATTTTATTAAAACGTTGTTGAACTTATCGTTCCACAGTCGGCTTGACTGCTTCAGCCCATAAAGAGATTTATTAAGTCTACAAACGCGACCAGAACCATCATCAAAACCATCGGGCTGCGACATGTAAATTTCATCTTTAAGCTCAGCATTGAGAAAAGCTGTAACCGCATCCATTTGACGGACTACAAGATCATGCTTTGCCGCTAGCGCCAAAAGAAAACGTAAAGAGGTATATCGGACTACGGGGGCAAACGTTTCCTCATAGTCGATCCCTTTTTTTTGATTATAGCCTTTGATTACTAACCGGGCTTTACGTCGAATGACCGTGCCATTGCTATCAATTTTTGTTTTGAATACCCATCTGGACCTAATCACCTTTTTGCCAGGAGGTAACTCACATAGCTGCCAAGTTTTGTTCACATGCAAGTAATTTATTTCAGCGTCAACTGCAGCTCTCCAATCTTGTGCATGTTCACTTGAAATTGCTTCAGCGAGAGTTTCAGGTTCATTAAATACAAAGTCAGTCACGGAAAAGTTTGCGCCAATCTGTTTTGCTGCGATTCTTTTCGAACGCCTTAGACCATTGACGTCCTCGAAGTCATCGGAATCGTTTGCGCTTTCATAATCTGGAGAGTCGAACCCTGTTGTATCGGGAGTAACTTCATTGGCTTTCTGATTATCAGGCTGTATCTTAACTGGCATTAGTGTATCACCTTGTTCGCATACTCTATCTGACGGTTTGTGCTCAATAATTGGTGATTCTTTCACATCTGACGGTTTGTGCTCAATAATTGGTGATTCTTTCACATCTGCCTCATCTGAATCAACTATTTTTAAGAAGTCACACCCCCTCCCCAAATCGAATATATAGTTATTTTTAATGTTATTATTTTGCGATTCAATGAAAACAACATGGCGACTCATCAAAATTTTTTGCGTTTTAGGGTTAAATAATCTATACGCTTTTGAATCACTACAATATCCAACCATCACGCACTCTATCGATTTTTCGTCAAGCTTTCTCCGCTTTTCGCGAGGCACATGCACCATGGCTTTACCACCAAAAACTTTTATAAACTTGAGATTCGGCTTTTTATTTGACCATATTTCTAGAGGGCTTTTTTCATTTAAGGCGTATGGAATTCGATTAAGAATGTATGCAGCTGTATTTGCTGCTTCAGCCCAAAATTTGTGTTTTAAACCAGAATCTATTAACATGCACCGCACTCGTTCAATTATTGTGCGGTTTAGCCTTTCGGCAACTCCGTTTTGTTCTGGAGTGTACGGCGGTGTAGTTTGGTGCACTAAACCTTCTCTTTCACAAAATTTTTTAAATTCATCATTTATATATTCTGTGCCATTATCCGACCTAAGCACTTTTATTTTTCGCGAACATTGCCTTTCTACTCTTTTTTTAAACTTTACGAACTCATCAAACACTTCTGATTTGTGTTTAATTGGCACCACAAAAAGCATATGGGAAAAGTCATCAACAAATGTAAGTAAAAAATGAGCACCAGAAAAAGATTTTTCTGCAAACGGACCCATTACGTCCGAGTGAACTATATCAAGCAATGCTTCCGCTCTAGTTCCACAATTCTTAAACGAACAACGCGTTTGTTTCCCTTTAACACAAACAACACATGTTTCATCGCTGACTTTCCCGAATTCAATGCCAACAGAAGCGTTTTTGGCTTTCTTCAAATGTTGAGCGCAAATATGACCCATTCTCCTATGCCACAATTCATAATCATTTCGAGTTAGAAGAGCATTTTGCGTATTTCCTTTTTGATAGGATGGAATGTCACAATTTAAATGATAGAGATCATTCACGGCGTTCGCGGTTGCTATTAAATTTTGCTTATTGTTATATATTTTACATTGATCGCCTTCAAATACAACGCTATTACCATTTTTGGTCATTTGTCTCACCGATAGGAGATTGGCGCACAACTCCGGCACGTACTCAACATTTTTTATTACAGCTTCAGTTTCTAAGTTATTTGCGTACAAACGCATATTTATGTCACCTTTTGCTTTTACTTTTATAGTTTGATTATTAGCAACTAAAATATTTTTATTTTCCACAGGCATTTTGTTTACAATCGCATTGCAATTTTTCGTCATATGCGACGTCGCGCCCGAATCAACAAACCATTCATCTTTACAAATGTCATTTGAAAGCAGAGATGCAAACGCTGCCATTTCGTTTTGATTTATTAGGGCAGTTTCTTGCAAAATTACCAAGTTGCTTGCATGAGTGGCACCGATATTGATTAGGTTTGTTTTTAAAGCCACACTTTTCTTTTGAGTAAAGTGCATTTTCAGCATTTTTATCGTTGTTGTCAAACTTAGCGTCTTGTAATAAAAGAGTTTTTACACTATCAATAGTGAGTTTCTCTTGACTATTTTCCACGGCTAACACTAGTGGACGAAAATCATCAGGCAGCCCTGCCAACATTAACGATGCTGTCAGTTCATCATTTATGTTGAGTCCAGCGTTCTTCAATTTGAGTGACGTCATAATAATAGAGTTCACATACTCTTGTACTGATACGTGGTCAGAAAGCTTGCACTGAACTAGTTGTTTCAGTAATTCCACTTTTCGAGTGAGACCCGTGTCTTCATAAGCAGCAAATAATGCTTTCCATGCTTGATGTGCCGTAGTCGCAGTAGCAATGTGAGAAAAATTTTTTGGTTCTACCATTAATGTTATTTCAGCCAGGGCACGTTCATCATTATTTTTATCTTTTTCGCAAGCGTCTGCAGAAAGTTCACTTTCAACTACCTTCCAGCAGCTCTTTATGATGAGATACGATTTTGCGTGTCGCTTCCATGTGTCGAAATTTTCACGACCCTTCAGCTTTTCGAAAGGAAAGGTTACAGCGTTTGTCGCAATTTTCGCGAGCTCAATCTATGCTTATTTTTTTTTAAGACAGTCGAT